GTCAGTGACTGCAATCCTATCTTCTATATCTGATTATCTATCTTCACTTTTGCTCATTCTGCTGCAAATACTTTCAATAGAGTGTTTAATCTCCTGGACACGAGTTTGAATCTGTTTCATGGATTCCATTTCTTTCCTATGCTGGGCGTTCATGGTTTCCATCATAGTCCTGAGCTCATCTTTTTTAAAAAAAATCTGTTTCTGTTCTAGAGTCTCTAATCATGTCTTACCTTCTGTTCACTGTCTCTGTGGTTATCTGGGAAATTATTTCTGTTTTGAATTTTTCTAGAGTCTCATTTATCTGTTTTGTTACTTCCTGTGCTATCATTTCAGGCTGTCCAGTTGGCTGATTATCAGACTTTTCCACCTCCATTCCTCCAGAATTTGCCTTTGGTGAGCTGGAAGTCTGGGTTTGTGCCTTACTTAAATGTCTTCTCATTTCTATTTTCGTTGCTGGTACTGTCATGGTTTAATTCCTGGGTTAATACTTTGATCTTCCAGATATAGCTGGTCTTTAGGCTTTCAGATTCTAATTACTCTGAGACACTCTTATTTTCATAATACTATGCAACTGATTAGATCAATCACAACACCTTATCCCAAGTGATACAATCAGAAACAACAATAGCATCAAACACAGTTTAGAAAATGACAATTTACGGTAGTTATAAATCTATGACTTTTTTCTTTGATTTTTTTTTTTGGTACTGGGGATTGAACTCAGACCCTTGCTCTTGCAAGGCAGGTGGTGAAACCACTGAACTAAATCCCCAGCCCATAAATCTATCACTTTTAACCACGTGACTTAAATCAAAATGGAGGACCAGCCCAAAATATGCTTATAGTGAATATACTCTTCAATATAGCAACTTTACCCTTTGGGATGGGGACTTGGAAGGAGTTGAGAAGGGAGGGATAGATAGGTAGGAAAGGGAAAGGTTAGAGTTAAGGCCAGAGGTAAAGGAAGATCACATAAACTGTAGGAAACTGTTGAAGAGAAGAGGAAAAGACAGAAAAAAAAAAGAACACAAGAATAGAACAAACTAACAGCAATAAGGAGGCTAATAACTATTCATTTTCTTTTAAAACTAATGACAGTTGAGAGAAGGAAAAAGAGAAGAAAAGAAAAAGAAAGAAGAAAAGAAAAAGAAAGAAAAATGAAATTCTAATTAGGACAGGAACAAAATGGGAGAGAAATGAACAAGGTGAGAGAGAGAGACAGAGAGAGAGGGAGAGAGAGAGAGAGAGAGAGAGGAGAAAAGGAAAAAATTGAAAAGAAAATAAATAGGTAGATAAAAATTTAAAATTATTAAAAATAAGAGAAAAATTACTTTAAAAATAGAGGGCCTCCTTTAGGGTATATCTTTGCTGATGCAACAGACAGCGTGATCAGGAGTGTGCAGATCTAAGTTAATTAGTCTCAGCAAACGAGCAGCTGTCCCCTGAGGTTCAGGCTGATTTTTGACTGCAAGGCCCAAGGTGAGAATTCTGCCCTCTTGCTGGGTTGAACTCTGCAAGGTTCTACTGCAGGTTCCAACTGACCTTCCCCTGAAGATTGTCCAGGTGGGCTGATGGGAGGTGCTGGTCCCTCGTACTTACCAACTATGGTGGTCTGGTGTGCCTTTATTGCGGATTTTCTTCACTTTTCCAGTGGGCTTCAATTTTCGTCTAGGAGCCTCAGAGAGGCCCCCTTTCTCTTGATCAGTTCTACTCTATCATCTGGAGCTCAAATAAATGGCATTTCTGACCCACAGACCCTCTGCGGTGTGGATCCAGTTGCTGGTATTGCCCAGCGACCAGAATTGTGGGGAGAGGGACTGCATTGGTACCATGTGGCTGGGCTGAAGGGGTGGGGTCAACAGAAGGCTGTGCACGGCTGGACTTCTCTGCTCCTCTGCACCAAAAGTTTGGGCTCACCAGACAGCCCACATGGCTGTGCATATGGCGCCCCTATGGCTCCTCTGTGCAGAAGGGGCGGGGTCCAATCCCTTGGTCTCCCCATTAATTCTACTACAATCAATATTATTTTATGCACTCAAATTTGTCATATTATTCTCTTGCTTTTCATTATCCCCTTGGCTGTCAATTATTTTTAATAAGTGAATACTCTGCTATGTATAGATCAAAGTTCCTGAATCCCCCAGTATACTTCATTGTCTTTCCTGTCTCAAGAAATGCCACACTTTTAACAAGGTGGTAATAGTATTGTTTAGCATTTAATTTTATTTCTCACTTTTCACTTTTGCAATATTCCTGAAGGTGTTTTGCAGAATATTTCTTTCATGTGGCCTTAAGATTCTAGAATTGGCTGGTCATATGTAGTAACAAATACTCTTGAATTTCACATGGCAAGGTACTGAATTTTTATGTTAATTTTGGGAGGAACAGGGTACTGTGCAGTAATGATTGTCCTGTTCTTGATTTATGTATCTTTCCATTTACTCTGTTTCATGATCTTTTATTAATGTGAAACATGTTTATATATATACATATATATATTATATATATAAGTAGCTTCTCATTCTTTATGGCTGAATAGTGCTCCATTTTATATTTAAAAACACACACACAGACATCTTTTTTATTCAGTCTCCACTTGATGGGCAATTGGGCTGTTTCCAAGTTTTAGCTATTACAAACTGCTGCTATAAACATGGGTGTGTATATATTGCTGTGCTTTGACGCTTTCAATTCATCATCTGTGAAAAAAAAATAGCTGGGTCAAATGGGATATCTAATCCTAGTTTTTTGAAATATCTCCACAGTGATATCCACAGTGATTGCATCAGTCTGCACTCCCATCAATAATGGAGAAGGGTTCCTATGTCCCTACAACTCTGCCAGCATTTGTTATTGGTTGATTTCTTGATGACCATTCTTTCTGGGGTGAGGTGGAATCTCAGCATTGTTTTTATTTTTGTCTCTCAAATGACTAGGGATGTTGAACCTTTTTTCATATGCTTATTTGCTGTTTTTACTTCTTTGTCTGAGAAATGTTTTACATTTCAGATGTCCATTTTTTATTGGGTCTTTAAATTTTGGAGATCTAATGTTTTTAAGTTTTTTATACATTTTAGACAGTAGATATTTGTGTGAGGAACAGCTGGTAAAATTTTTTCCCACATTGTGGGTTCTGTCCTCACTCTGTTGGTAGTTTCTCTTGCTATGCAGAAGCCTTTTGCGAAGATGAGATCCCAGTTGTTGATTCTTTGTGCTAGTTGACGTGCAACTGAAGTTTTGTTCATCAAATCTTTTTCTACACCAATGTCTTCAAGAGTTCTGCCTAACTGCTCTTCCAGCCTGTTTAGATTTTGTTTTAAAATTTAGATCTTTGATCCATTTTTATTTTACTTTAGTGCATGGTGAGAGTTATAGGTCTAGTTTAAATCTGTGGCAATTTGAAAGCCACTTTTTCCAGTACCATTCATTAAAGTGGCTGTCTTTGCTTTTTGCCTCCAAGTTCTGAGTGTCTTTTGGCGTTTACCATTTGCTGTTACAGTAATACTCTTCTGTGAGCTGGCTGTCTATTTGTGTGTCTCAAATTTATTTTTGCAATATCCCAGAGGCTATTTTGGAAGAAATTCCCTCACATGAGACTTTTAGTATTCTAGAAATGGCTGGTCATCTGTAATAACAAATATTTCCAAATTTAAGACGGCAAAGTGTTAAATTTGTATTTTATTTCAGGGGAGAACTCGTTAGTGTGTAATAGTAATTTTTCCTAACCATGGGTGTATGAACCTTTCCACGTACCCTTTAATAATCCTTTATTAATATGAATCACGTATCTATATATCTTGTTCTTGTTTTATACACCTTTATTTACAGATCTGTGGGGAAGGGATACCATGCTGCCTGTGTGGCTGCAGTCATGTTGGGAGTAGAGAACAGGGACCTGATAGCCAGGGACGACAGGGCAGCAAAATGTCCCAGTGAATTGGGGCGCAACGGAGAGCAAACGGGAGCAGAGGGAAGGCCAAGCTGCTGCTGGCCACGCCCCAAAGCCCCTCCAGCTGGGAGGGAAAGAATGAAAGTCAGATGTTTCTACTCTCACCAATTCACGGAAGTTGTGTGTCACTTTGCAGTGACTGAAAGAATCCCATTCAGACGGAGACAGTCCTGTAGGGAAATTTAAACTGTTTTATTGTTACAGCTGAAATCCACCTTTGCCCAGTTACCACAGATTGTGACCCATATATTTCTTCTGAAAACCTATTTGCTTTTCCTAAGATTATTTGTTCTTTGATTAGTTAACTATATGGCAATAAACTTTCTTTTTAAGCAAGGCAATTTCCACAAATCTCATGATCGACACTAAGCATCAGGGCATTGCAGTAGAGGAAACTCAAGCTAAGACTGGCGGCCAACCAGACTTTCCCCCATCACCATGCAGGGTAGCAGACGTGGGACCAGAGAGAGATGAGAAACGGACGAATTTGAGGCAAAGAACTTGAACTGCTGGTATCCATAGATAACATCAGTGCAAACTACAAAACAGGACCGTATTTTTAGCTTTCAGAACAACCATTCAAAAGTTATCCCAATTTACTGTGTTGAGTTGGCATTGTGCAGAAATGGACAGCCATATTGGTCTAGAAATGTTAATTTATTTTTATTTTTTATTTTTTTCCCATGTGTACAGGGGTAACGCATCGTACTAAATATGTAAGGTCATATCTACGTGGGTTTGATTACAGAAACTAATAAAGTAGTCTCTAAATAATTAAAAAAAAAAAAAAGAACAACCATTCAAGTAACCAGTTCCAGAAATTGAGTAAACACACGAAGCACTCAGTATACTTCTTTTTTTTTTTTTTGGCAACATTAAAAATTTTTTTTTTCAGATTTAATTGAGTTTATTGGTACATTTTAGGGATACAGTACAGTTACATTCATTGTTGGGATCTTGTACCTCTGTATGACAAGTCTTGGTTCTCATTTTTTACACTCAGTATACTCTTCACTAGCAACTTGATCAAGTCAACTGCCTAAAGCCTCACACGTTCGGCGCACGCGCAGAGGGTCAATGAAACACCCTTTCTGGCACAGCCGGGAAAGTCCCAGGAGGACGACGCTAAACCCAGGGTTGAAATCTGAGATTCGGATCACAGGTTCTAAGGGTCTGTGCAGTACAGCAATTTGCGACTGTAAAGCAAAGCCCGGAAAGCAGTGCGCTTGCGCAGTGCCGCCGCGCCAACAAAAGCAAGCCTTCGCTCTCCCAGCCGACCGCGCATTCCGAGTGCGCAGGCGCAGTGGTGAGGGGCTTGGCGATGTGACGCGCCACTCCGAGGTGACGCTAAGCAGCCGCGCGATTTCAATTCAGCCCGCGTTCGCCAGGTTCCCTCTCCAGTCTTTACCCAGCGCAGCAGTCCTTCCCTGGAGGGAACGAGGTGAGCGGAGCGCTTCACCGTAGGAGAGCTGAGGGCAGAGGAAAGTCAGACCCCGGGGTAGAGGTGAAACTGAGGAGCGGCGTGAGGGCGGGGCGTTTATGGAAGCGAGGGGAGGGGCCTTTTGATGGATGGGCGATAGGCCAATGAGGGGAAGGGGCGGGCCAGGGAGGCGGTTCCTTCGGAGAACTGGCGCGGTATTTAGGATCAGGGCGACAGCTCGCAGGTGTTGGGCTTTAAATTGGGGAATCTGGGCTCAGCGCTTTTACCAGGTGTTTAGTGATCGCCACGCTGGAGCATGCGGGCGTGTGCCTCAGCCCTGGTGAAGAGTTCCGCGGAGAACTTGGGCGGGAGGTCCTGTTGTGCCCCACGGAGACCTCTGAAGAGGCCTGAGATGACAGATGATGTCCCTCGGTGCTGAGTGCATCTGTTGCTGTCGGATTTCATCTCCCCTATTCTTTAACCATGATTGATCTGTGCTGCTTCTGGAATAATGAGATCCGTAGTTACCTTCACGGGGAAGGGCAATGATGATTACTTCTGTTCTGTATTGTCCCGTGCTGTGACTCTGAAGTTGGATAACTTAGTCTTTCCTTTTCCCTCCTTATGGTGGAGAGGAAGAGTCAGGAAATTAGAAGTGTAGGGGCGTGGGGAGTGATGGAGACCGTTCAGCTCCCGGGCTCAGCCACCTCCTGCATGAACGTGAGCAAATCGCTCTTCTGAGTCTCAGCTTCTTCACCTGTAAAGAGCTGATGGAAAGACAAACCACACAAGCTTGTTGCCGTTATGGACCGACGCTGGGACTAGGTATTCAAGTCGTGGCACCGCTCTGCCCTCACCTGTGAAGAACAGAAACCTCTGGCTGCAGCTCCGTGCCTGGCTGGCTACTTACTCATGAGAATCTTATTTAATGCCTTACGTAATGTGCTAGTTCTGAGACCTGTGCAGAAAAGAGAGAGACAAGAGAAGATTCCTCCCTTAATGTAGCTTATACTCCCCCAGTGGGGAAGGACAGTGATTAAAATAGGTTCAGACGGTGCTGAGAGCTGTGAAGAAATTAAGTACAGCTTGAGGTGATAAAGGTGAGACCTGAGGCAGGATGCGTGTGCAGACGGTGTGTGTGTGTGTGTGCACACGCGGGTGGTGTGTATCGGGCACTATCAAGTGGCCAGACTGGGGTGGAAGGTGAGATGAGGTCTGAATACTGGGTCATCGTTTCGCAGTCAGGGGAACCAGCGGTTGCAGGGCCCAGGCTGATTAGTTCAGGCTCAGTGCCTGGCCAGAGGGTGTGTAGGCTGATCAGCGAGCTTCCTTTATAGAGAGGCAGTGCTCATCAGTTTTTGTCTCGGGATCGAGTACTAAGAAACATGAACATAACTTTTATTTGGCAGAGGTGATTGAAGAGGCCATGTACGGGCTAAAGATCCGGGTAATCAGAACATAGGAGTGGGGTGAGGAAGTCAGGCCGGGGCTCTGTCTCCAATCTGACTGGACAGCACCAGGATCATCCATGGTATTTTCTTACTGGTGAGGTTCCTGGCGCTGTGTTGAAGACGGAGCTGGCAGCCTTCTCACCTGCAAGAAGCCCCATCCTGCTAATGACATGTGTTCCTGATTTTCCCATAGTGTGGGTTAATTTTTCACCGTGTGTCATTTCAGTAAATAACTTTCACTCCCACAAGATCTCTTCCAGTGACATAATACTGATGAAAGTGGAACCTTATCGACCTGGTTTGAAGGGCTGATTTTCCTCCTCTTAGTTGTGACTTTGAGCAGTTATTTACTTTCTTCCCTCTCCTCCCTCCCCAGTGCTGCAGAGTTTACCCAAGGCTTCCCCCACCCCAAAGCTTCTTGTAACTGAGTGCTCTACCATGGAGCCGCTGTCCTAGTGAGCAATTATTTAATTTCTTTTTTAAGATTAGTTTTATTGGTACATTTTAGATATACATAGTGATAGCATTCATTGCGTCTTATCTGTACCCGTACAAGAGATACCGTGCTGCTTTTTTCCTTTCCTTTCCCTCTCTTCACTCCTCTTCCCCTCCTTTTTTTAATAAAAGATTTGTTTCCGTTTTTTCCTTCTATTCCTTCTTTTTCCTTTTCTGTTCCTTCCTTTGTCCCTCCCCTTCTCTGGTTCCCTTCTCATTTGAACATTTTCTTCCTATTTCACAATATCTATCGTACATTTTGGTCCTTATTTATACTTTCAGTTTGTAACCCAGAGAAAACATGCAATATTTGAACTTGTGTATCAGTTTTATTTCACCTAAGGGTATGGTCTCAGGGTGCATCCATTTACCTAGAAATGTCTCCCGTTTATCCTTTATGGCAGAGGAGTTCTCTATGGTCTGAAAAAGTTACATCTTCTTTATCCAC